CTGCGCCTGGACACGCTCAGCGGCCTGCACTACCTGGACTGCGTCATCAAGGAGGTCATGCGCCTCTTCACGCCCATTTCCGGCGGCTACCGCACCGTGCTGCAGACCTTCGAGCTCGACGTGAGCCTGGGCCCCTGCGGGTGGGCCTCAGGGGGCCCCTGGGAGCACTGCCTTGGGCTGATGGGAAAGAACAGACTCCCCTCCTCCGGGTACTTCAGTCTGATGGGGAGACACCCCTTGTTTTCAAGGAGCTTCCGATCTGATGGGAGGGACCTCGTCCCAAATGCTGGGTCAGACGAAGCCAGCCTGGGTGTCATATATGATGTTGCATGTAGACACTCTGTAAATAAGAGACAACTAACACGCTGAGGGTGCTGGCCAGGCCAGGGGATCGCAGTAGGGTGTCTCTGGGCACATCTGGGTGGGGGGCTGGCAGGCAGGGAGTCCGGGCCACTCTCAGATCTCCGCTGGCCTCACCACCACACCCTCCCCATCTTGCCTCCAGGGCTTCCAGATCCCCAAAGGATGGAGCGTCATGTACAGCATTCGGGATACTCACGACACGGCGCCTGTGTTCAAAGACGTGAACGTATTTGACCCCGACCGCTTCGGCCAGGCTCGCAGCGAAGACAAGGACGGCCGCTTCCATTACCTCCCCTTCGGCGGCGGAGTCCGGACCTGCCTGGGCAAGCATCTGGCCAAGCTGTTCCTGAAGGTGCTGGCGGTGGAGCTGGCCAGCACCAGCCGCTTTGAGCTGGCCACCCGGACCTTCCCCCGCATCACCCTGGTCCCTGTCCTGCACCCCGTGGACGGCCTCAGTGTCAAGTTCTTTGGCCTGGACTCGAACCAGAACAAGATCCTGCCCGAGACGGAGGCCATGCTAAGTGCCACGGTCTAACGGGGCCTGGCCACACCCCTGCCTCAGCCCGGCCAGGCCCTGGGGTGGGGGGCGATGGAAGGGTACAAACCTGTGTGTGGGAGGGGGCTGCAACCCGGGGAAGGGGAGCGGCCCCCATACCTGGCCCTCCCGTTTTCTCTCCCTGACAAGCCCTACCCAAAGCCAAAAGGGCCCAGTTCTTTGGCTCCTGCTTCTCCCAGTCTCTCTCCAGTTCCCACCAGCTTAGCTCCTGGGACAGGGCATGGCGGGGGCTCCGCATGCCCGTTACAGTGTTAAATGGCAGTCAGCTCACGCTGCAGCATTTGCTTGTCATGTTCCCAATGGATCCCTCCCTGCCCATTTCATTTGGACCCTATTGGTTTGAGGTCATGTGGTCGACATGGGGGGCGGGCAGGAGGAAGAGTTGGGCTCTTCAGCACCCCGCCCCCTCCTGCCTCTCTTCAGAATCAGGCACCTGCCCCTCCTGGGGTTCGCCTAGAGTCCCCCCCTTTGCCAGTTTGGACATTTGAAATTACCTATTGCTGCTACTTTTTTCTTTCCTCTGAAGTTGGGGCAAAGAGCTCCAGGCCCTGTCCTCCCAGCATTCTCTCTGGTGGCCCTGGGCGTGCACACAGCAATGACATCCCCACCTCCCGGCCAGGTGGCCTTGAGCCCATCCTACTCCACTGTTACCCCCGCCCCCCCCCAGGCCCTTGGCTCATATTTATTCACTGATCTAACCGAATCTTGGCGTTACTGGGGGCTGGAATTGCACCTCCTCCATCCCCCAGCCTCCGTCCCCGCTGCCCGGGGACTGACTTCTGCCAGTGACTCAGCCCTCTCTGGCTGAGGTTCAGCCGCTCCCCCAGGCTCCAGACCTTCTGTGGGTTCAACCTCAACTGCACTTCTGGGGGGAAATCCAGCACCTCTGCCTTTGTCTCCCAGCTGAAGGTGAGGAATGGCCCACTGCTTCTCCCCACCCCCCAACTCTGTCCACAGCATGGGGACCTGGAGGCTGCCACCATCTCCCACACAGTCACTATCCCCCCGGGTGCCCCCACTTGGCTAGTGAGTATGGGGAAGGATACGGGTTCTTTCTCTGACAGGGAGCGAGGGGCTCCATTGTCCCTTCCTTAACCTTCACCCTTTGGCCTTGGAAAGGTGTCCTTGAAGTCCCTTCCCACCTCTATGCCACTGTCTGCTTAGCCCAGCTCAGGGGTGTGGGACGAGATGAAGGCCAGGGGAGGTGAGCTAGAAGGCAGCCCTTCCTCAGCGGTCCTGAGGGGCTGCGGGGAGGCTGCGGGGAGAGCTGAGGAGAGCATGTGTGAGTTGTCAGAAGTGATTTGCTTGGAAATGGGCCAGTTGGGGGGTGACTGGGGGAAAGAGGGGTAGCTGCTGCCACCAGCATTTGGAGTCGGCAATTTGGGACACCCCCCCGGGCTGGTTTGGGGCCTTTGATGAGTCTTCAGCGATCTTGTCTGGTTGTGGATTTTTCTTTGCTGTCTATGTTTCTCAATTGGCTTTTGATGCTATAAAAGTGATGAATCCTCTTTACAAGAAGGCCAGCACACAGAGGAAGGTGCAGGGCGTCGATGCGCTTGCCTCTCCAAGAGGCGACCACTGTGACCACTCAGTGGCCGCCTCTGATGGTGTTGAGGGGACAGATGGCACTCCCGCTCTGGACCCCACTCAGAACCACCTGTTCTCAATTGCTTCATTTGGTTTCTACCTTTTCATTATTAAAAAAATATCATGGAACAGATATCATTGGCAAAACATAGACATTTAAAAAAATTAGTCAAATCTCTCAATTTCTCTGCATTCTGAAAAGCAGGCAAAAATGTGTTAAGACTCATCAGAACTTGCAGGATAGCTGCATGGTCCACCAGGATTGGCCATCCACAAAAAGCCCGGAAGTTAACCCTTCAAGCCAACCCAGCTTGTCCCGGCCCAGTCGTGCTCGATCGAATAGCTAGGGCTGCACGGGTGCAGCTTCAGGCAGGGAGTCCACTGGGCGTGGCCCTGGCGGGGGGGGGGGGGGGCTGGGGGGGGGGGAAGGCCCCAGGCCTCAGTGGACCTTCCATGTGGGGTGACCAGCTGGAGAGGGCCGGAGAGGAGGCTGAGGAGGGTCCCTGTGAGGAGGAAAGAAGGATCGTTTGCCCTACCGGGTCTCAAAGGTAACCAGAGAAGGAAGAAAGCTCTTGACCGGCTGAGCGAGGGGTTCCCATGTCGACGTCCATCCATCCCTCCTCTGTGCGTCCATCGGTGTCCGTGTGTCTGTGTGTAGGTCTTCTAGACGTAGCGTAGATGGGTGATGTTTTCTCACTTACCATTCCTAACGATCGTAACTTGACGTTAAAGAGACAAAACCCCACAACACTTTCCCTGCCACGGGCTTGCAGACTGAAGCACTTTCGATGTTGGGCGCTGGCATTTGTGTTCTGGGCACCATCCTGACCCTGCCCAGATCGCGATGATATTATTTTATACACAAAACTTTTTTTTTTTCATAAATGTTATAATTTTGTGTCTGTCTTTATAAACTATTATAAGTACTATTTTTGTTATAATTCAAAATAGATATTTAGTATAAAGTTTTTGCTGTTAAATATTTGTTATTTAGTAAAATATGAATTTTTCTCTATTGTAAACATGGTTCAAAATATTAATATGTTTTTATCACAGTTGTTTTAATATTGAAAAAGCACTTGTGTGTTTTGTTTTGGAGATGAAACCGGTGCCGTGTGAGTGTTTTTGCTGTCACGTGGGCTTCATCTGTATATAATATTCCATGTTGCATATTAAAAAAAAATGAATGTGGTGCATTTTGTGATTTTGAAAGTACTCCATGTGGCTCTTTTATAGGCTTCCGTAATAAACCGTGGGACGCACCTCGCTTGGCTCTCTGGTCTCTGCCTTCTCGGCCTCACTGAAAGGGGCAACCCCCTCCCCGCTATTCCCTTCTGCAGCACCCAATCCCACCTGCCAGGCAGGGGGTTCTTCTGAAAGCATTTGTCCTGTGAGCTCACCTGCCATTCCTTGTGCGCAGGCAGAGAGCAGTCCGAGGCAGGGTCCTTCGACAAGCAGGGTCCCGGGGGGAAGGGAAGATGCAATTAGACCACCACTGGCCCCGAGGCCTGGTGGGGGAGGAGGCAGCTGGAGCCAGCGGCCATGGCCATGATCACCGGGGTCAGGCGTCTCAATGCCGGACGCGGCAACCCGGAGTGCTCAGGGCCTGCCCTCAGCGTCCACCGTGTGGAGAGGGATGCCCACAGCCACATGGCGGACTGAGCAGAATTCAGTTCCCCGGACTCCAGCCTCGTGTCACACGAGGCACGTTTCAGAGGCTGTTCCATGGAGCAAATAGGCTCCCCGGTCACATAAGTTTGAGGAAGGGGTTAAACAGGTGGTCAGATCCCCTCACTGTGGGACCTTTCAGGACCGTGTGCCTGAGAACGGCACACTAAAGGGCAGTGTGGTGTGGAGTGGGCACCGGCGACGGGCCCCCAAGCCCATGCGGTGACAAACAGGGTGCTCTCTGCTGATTACCAACTGTGAAGGGCTGCTCAGCAACCTGTCACAGAGGAGGAAGGCGAGACCAGCCCAGGGCACGACCGCCAGCCCTGAGACAAGGGACATCAGGGCAGCTCCCGGGATTGAGGGGCCACGGGTGAGGAGGCAGAGCCGAGACCCCAGAACTGCACCAGGAAGCGGCGGGGGGCGGGGGGCCAGGCCTCACAGTGCCCAGGCTGGTCCAGCCTCTGCCATGCCCGGTGTCGTCCCCAGGCTGTGCTCAGGGAAGGCCCCGAGCTGGCCTGAGAAAGGCCTTCTTGTGGCTGCACCAGGTCTTTTCGGTTCAGTCTGTCAGACCCAGTCTCAGCTCAGAGGCCCCAGGCACAGACAAAGCCCAGGTCGCAGGGCCTCTCTCCACCTGGGTCACAGAGCCTCGCTACCCAAAAGAGAAACACCAGCACATTCCGAAGAATGCCATCAGGGCCGGGCACTCAGCAGGCCTGTCCCCCATCCTCTGCCCTGTGCCAACTTCTGCCTCACCTGCCCCCTCCCCCCCCACACCCAGGCCCTGAATCCTAGACCTACACTACCCCCACCCCTGCCTGCCCTCCCCAGGGGGAGGGGAGGGGAGCAAGGTGAGTCCTTTGTTTTCTTTTATTACTACTATTATTTTTTAAAACTGTTTTTTTAAAAATATATATTTTTATTATTGATTTCAGAGAGGAAGAGAGAGATAGAAACATCAATGATGAGAGAATCTTTGATCGGCTGCCTCCTGCACCCCCCCCACTGGGGATCGAGCCCACAACCTGGGCATGTGCCCTGACCAGGAATTGAACCATGACCTCCTGGTGCATAGGTCAATGCTCAAACTCTGAGCCATACCAGCCTGGAGAGTCCTCCTTTTTCCATAGGATAGAGTCTCAGAGTGACAGAGACTTCCCCATGGCCTCACAGAACCGAAGGGGTGTCCCTGCACCAGAAGCAGACCACCTGACCCCACCCGTGCCCACTCGGAGGGGCCCCCTCAGACGGGGTCTCCAGGGTCAGTGCTGGGCGGCGTGACACACCCGAGCTTCCCCCGGGCGGGGAGGGCGCCGGCAGAAGGCAGTCGTTCCTCAGAGTGTGAATTCCACCTCCTGTGGAATGTCCCTGTGGCAGCAGAGGGAAAGGAAGCGGGTCCTCGGGCTGCCCTGGGTCTGACCGCCCGCCACAGGGTGGGAGGGCCGCCGGCGGGTGGCAGGCCTGTCATCACCCGGCCTGTCCGTGCCTCTCTCCCCTGGGCCGCGGGCCGTGACGTCCGCCTGCCGCCTGCCCGCCCCCCACACGCTGGCTGCCCGGGATCTCCTGGCCTGGAAGGAGAACACAGGCCCTTGTGGACGGCAAACACGCCGCTGTTTGTCCAGGGATCGGGGCGCCAGTTCGGAGGGAACTCGAAGACCGCACATTCTGCCACCTCCCAGCATTTTTCCAAAACAGCCTGGCCTTGGCTGGGCCTGGCTGCCAGGGGTGGCCGAGGGCTGGGAGCCAGGAACAGGGCAGGGGAAAGAGGGCCGTGGGGCCAGGGGGTGAGGCGCCCAGGTGAGGGCAGACAGCGCTCAGGCAGGGCCGGCCTGCTCAGCTTTGACGTGCCTTGGAGGGAAGGAGAGAGGGAGAGTGACTGTGCGACTGTGTTGGGGGCTAAGGAAACACAAACTGGACTTGCCTCTGAGCCTTCCAGCAGAGCCAGCCAGCTTCCACCCGCACAGAGGCTCCGGGTGAGACGTGGGCTGGGACTTGGGTCAGCTCTGCATCTCCCACCTGACCGCCCTGTCACCAGAACAGCCTGGTCTGGCCCAAGTCTCGGCATCCACTGACCTGGCCCACCCCAGGGACTCTGGCCTCCAGGAGACCAGCCTGGGCCTCCTCGCAGTGATAAGAACCCCTCCCTCTTACCCACCGAGCCCTGTACTCTAGGACCCTGGTCTCCTCCAACTGATCCCTCACCCCACACAACAGGCGAGTGACAGGTGAACCCACAAAGACTTCCCTGGGAGTGGGGCACTGTGGTGCCACCCCTGGAGGGAGCCGGGCCTGCCCTGGAGGCTGGGAGACACATGGAGGCTCCTTGGCGGGCAGTAGCCCACCTGAGGTGACATGTAGGTGGTAGGGGAGGAGGCCTGCCTGTTTGACGATGGCCCCCTCCTTCCTGGCTCATCTATAGTTACAGAGGCCCCTCTTGCCTGGCCCGGTGTAGACTTGACATTTTGGCAAGTCCTTCCGTCCCACAGTTACTTCCTCTGGGACTCAAGCTTCGCATCCCTCGGAGTCAACAGTATGTAGAGTGGTGCCCCTTGAAGATGTGCAGCAAGACAGCCTCACCTGCGCCCCTCATTGCAGCGGTCATGTGACACCCCTGCAAGGGCTCTGGCCCACTCTGAGTCACATGCCTATTCCTTGGGGAGAAGGATGGCTCCCTCTGATTAGTCGCCCTGGGGTGGGGTGGAAAGGTGGCACTTGATTGGCAGCCCAAGATAGAGGTGGAAGGAAGTGTGGGAGGGGACAGAACACAGCCCAGGAGGGAGGGGAAGGAGCTAGCAAGGTGGGGGAAGACCAGGGCTGCTGAAGTGATGTGCCAGGAATGTAAAGGGAGGGTGGGTGGCGAATGACATTGTAAGAGCGGAGAAGCTGTGAAGTGCGAGCCGTGGCTGCTCCCAGTGAGGTTTTTTAACTTTACTGCGATGCCAGCTCTTCCTCCATCAGAACAGAGTCTACTGCCCTGGTTGGAGCGTCATCCCAATACACAAAAAGGCTCCAGGTTCGATCCCCCATCTGGTGTGTGTGGAAGGCAGCTGATCAATGTTTCTCTCTTTTTTCTTCTTCTCTTAAAATTAATTAAAACCAAAAAACAAACAAAAAAAAACACAACACGCCATAGTCTTCTATGCTCCCAAGGGCTTTGTGTGACTCTGTGTATGTGTGTGTGTGTGTGTGTGTGTGTGGTGTGTGTGTGTGTGTGTGTGTGTTCTATTTTGAAATAAATGTAGATTCACAAGACATTGCAATGATAGCACAGTTGACCCTTGAACAACACAGATTTGGGCTGTGTGGGCACACTTACAGGCGGATTTTTTTCAATAAATATACAGTCAGCCCTCTGTATCTGCGGGTTTCAGAGCCAGGGGTTTAACCAACTGCAGCTAGAAAACTGTACTTCCCACCCACAGTTGGCCGACTGCATGCATTGTTCTCTGCCGTTTTGTATAGGGGACCAAGCATCTGAGGACTTGGGTATTGGAGGGGATCCTGGAACCCATCTCACAGATTCTGTAGAGAGGTCACTGTAGTTAAGTTTTGGGGGAGCCAAAAGGTACACACAGAGTTTCGTCTGCACGGGGATAGGTGCCCTAACCCCCCGGTTATTCAAGGGTCAGCTGTATGAGGGAGGTCCCGCTTTACCCAGTTTCCCCTTCACCCCGTTCCGCAATGGCTTCTTACATAATTTGAGTGCAGTATCAAAACCAGGAAATTGACCTTGGTACAATGAGTAAGTGTGGTTTGATGACATTCCATCACAGCTGAAGATGTGTGTAATCACCACTGCAATCAAGATACATAATTATTTCATCATCACAAAGATTGCCCTCGTTTTGTAGCATCACCAACTTCCCCCACCCCGCTCTCCCCAACCCCTGACAACCACTAACCTGCTCTTCATCTCTATCGTTTTTCATTTTAAGGTTATATCAATGGAATCATTCAGTATGTGATCATTTGAGAATGGCATGTTCGCACAGCATAATGCCCTGAAGAGCCACCCAAATGACTGCAGGTGCCAATTGCTTTTTGTTGCTGAGTGGTATTATGGCATGCACGCACCTCAGCTTGTGTAACTACCCACTCACGGAAGGACATTTGGGTTGTTTGCAGTTTGTGTGTGGGGGGGGGGGTTGGTAGTCCATCTTTATCCCTTATTTCTTTGCCGATATTTTCTTTTTCATTTGTTTCAAGAGAATTTGTAATCATTTGTTGAAGCATTTTCATGACAAATACTTTAAAAATTCTTGCCAGATGATTTCATCTTGTTGTGGGCATCAGCGGATTGTCTTTTCTCATTCCAGCTCTGATTTTCCAAATTCTTTGTCTGGTGAGTGATTTCTTTCATTGTATCTTGTATGTTTTGGTTATTATGTGAGGACACTCTAAGTCCTGAATACATCTTTTATTGTAGTAGGCAGTCACTCTGTTTAGGTTTAATACGAAGGTCTTGGCTTAATTTTATGAACTGCAGTTCCAATGAAAATGTAATTTTCAAGGTGTTTTCTGTTAGTTTGGTTGACTTAGTTTAGTTAGTGCCCCGCGGCTCCCACGGCCCTCCTGGTGCTGCTTGAGAGGCAGAGGAG